CCCAGTCTCATAATTTTTTTGGAAGGGTGACGATTTCAAAGACGTTCATGAAGTTCCATTCAATCATAGCCTCTCTTTGGCAATCCTCTTTGTGCCTCTCTCAAAATACCGCCAGATTTGTGAACCTTTTGTGGACATGGTTACACTTCACAATGAACATGAGCAGAATAAAATTTGTTTAGGGAAATAGTTATGAGACAGCCACGTGCTCAGACTCAGAAAAGATACAAAATTAATCCTTGGGTAAGAGAAGATCAACCACCATGTACAATGTCCTTCCCACCGACCCCCCTCTCCCCTTCTTTCTTCTTAATTAAGCACTGGAGGTGGTTGGCTTAATTAGAGAGAAAGACATTCAGGGGTGCCACTGCCTATGGTGTAGAGTTTGTGTTCGGTACAAACACATCGCCCGGGAGGCCAATGGGACTAAAATTCAGCCCTAAGCTGAGATCACCTGCTGAACCGGCCCAGAAGGATGTCTTTTTCCAATTCTCACAAGGCACCGAAGCCTACCAGTTGGCCCGGAAGACATCCACCATTCTCTAATCTGTTTGGACTGAATTAATTAAGTTGTCCTTGCAATCTAATCTGATTTAAAGTTGTTCTTAAACTTTAGCAAGTATCCGAATCATCTGGAGGGCTTGTTAAACCACGGATTGCTGGGCTATTCCCCCAGAGTATTTTATTCCGTAGGAGCCCAGAATTTGAATTTCTAACAAGTACCTGAGGTGGGGGCTGATGTTGGCCTGGGGACCTCACTTTGCACCAATGCTACAAACCATAGGCAAGGGTTTTTTAATTGTAACTTTATTATTATTTATTATTATTTTGTTTTACTTTGGACCTTTTCTGTGTCTACTAATGAGAGCCTCACTGAGCCTACTGGGACCAAAGAAAAATAAGTAACTTCAGGTAGCGCAAACTGAAGGGCCATCCTCATGGACAGTGACACACCCATTTCCCCCGAAAGGCCCACAGTCCCTGGGATCACCTTGAATAAGAGACTGAGAAGGCACTCTGTGGGCAGGGCTATTATGACTGAGCCGTCTGTAGCTGTGTAAGGAAGGAGCCACAGTTTTCCGGGCAAGCAGTTGGGGGGGAGGGGGGCAAGAATGCCAGTAATTTACATGAAATTGATGGGGTGGTTCCTAGACCCCTTGCCTAGTGAAAAGGCTGCCTATTTTGGTTGGAGCTAAGACTGTGTATACAGGGGGTGGAGACCTTCTCTGCAGAGTACATGGCTTCCCCATGGTCTACATCCACGAAACCACACACTGCTTTTCTGCACTCAGATACAGAAAGGCTTTTTGTCAATAGACTCCTTGAGTTGTTAATAGGTCCACCTAACCCATCCTGAGTAAATAGGTAGGCATTCTCCCTCTGAAAGCTCTCCAGGACTGGAGGCCTCTATTTTCCTTTGATGCATTAGTCTAGCTTTGGGCCCCCTGGAATGGTCTGAGATTTTTTTTTTTTTTTTTTTTTTTTTTTTTTTTTTTTTTTTTTTTTTTTTTGGACTAAAAGACTTTAAGTCTCTTCCTTGCTCTGGCATGCCTGAGACAGAAAAGAATCAGCCCCCATTTTTTTGTACCCCAGCCGTTCCATATTGGATGCCCACCCACATTTTTTTTTTTTTCCTATATCCTGCCTCTACTCAAACCCTCTTTTCTGATCAACAGCCTTGAAGTGTTTTGTCCTCTTAATCAGGAACCAGCTACCCTTTTCGATGTTGCCTTTTCTGAAAAGACCTCTATGGCATTCTGGTACTGGAAGGAAATCTATCAAAGTGCCCTCCCTGTCTCTTGGTCTTCAAAGTGTCAGATTCTTGGCCCTTCAGGTCCCCATTCACTTGCCAATTATTCTTTGAATATCCTTTTGATATTCTCTTAGTGTTGGTGGCAAGGACACCACGAGCTTAGAGAAGTCCAAGTTCAGAGAGAGCAGCAAGTCTTCAGGATTTTTTGCGTCTACGCGCCCTCTCTAAGAAGCTGAGAAAAGCTCCGGGTGTGTGTGTATGGGGGGGGGGAAGCAGAAAGATTTGTTTCATGATCAGGGTAAGTAATCACAGGAGGCTCTCCCTCTACCTGCCTTGGGGAGACATCATGAAAATCATGACAATGTGACAAGCCAACATCTGCTACATGTAAGCAGGGTCCTGGGGGTGTGCGGTAAGAACGAACAAATGGTGATCTTTCAAAAGAATCTCTTCCAGAGGTCTGCCTTTGGACAAACCCAGGAAGATGCACTTGGCTCTCCAGAAGATGCAGATCTGGGAAAAATGCACACACACACGCGCACATACACACACAGACCAAGCCCTCCAGAACAAGGTCTTTTGAAATGTGGCTCGAGGCAGCTAATGACATTAATGACAATCATTTTCTTTGCCTGTTTAGTCCAATGTATCTTTTCATTGTGGATTTGATATCTTCTGCTAAGAAGAGGGAGGGATTGGTGGAACAATGACAGACAAGCACTAAAATGCAATGTAGGTTACACTGAGGACAAATTCAATTGACTTAGGAAGAGGCCAAGGAGGACAGCATTTCATTGGCTAATCAGATCTAACCCAAGTCACCAACTGGGTGTGTTCATTTCTATTTATAGTCAAGGACAAGAGCCTCTGATGACTGATTCTGGCAATGTAGAAGATTCATGTGGATGAAATGATAGTGCTGCGAATCTGGAAAGGGTGGTCCATCCATCACAGGATGAAGCAAACCTTATTTTCTTTTAGTGGAAATGTGCAGAACTTGTTTAACTCCTCCCAAATCATGAAAAAAAAAACGAATGAAAGAAAGAAAGAAAGAAAGAAAGAAAGAAAGAAAGAAAAAGAAAAAAGCCACAACAGTCTTAGTTAGGATGAAGGGGCACCTATGGATCCTTGCAGAATCCTTAGGTTTTTAGTGAGAGAGTATTGCAAAGTGTCCTGTGAATCCAAGGATTCACTTTCACTTGATATGATGCTTCAGACAGTTTTGATCTTGAATCGAAGTCTGGGATAAATCAGGATGGGTTTAAAACCCATCCAACAGAAGTACAGAGCCCTTGTGTTCTCAAGTTTGCCAGCAGCAAAGGTACGGAGGTCCTACTTATTAGTCAATAACTAAGTACAGTTGACCCTTGAACAATTAGGGCGTTAGGGGCGCCAACACACACATTCTCTCCTGTGGAATCGAAAATCCATGCGTAATTTTTGACTCCCTCCAATAGCCTACGACTGACTGGAAGCCTTACTGATAACATGAACAGCTGACGAACACATATTTGTATGTTCCGTGTAATCAATTCTGTATTCTTACCATCAAGTAAGCTAGAGAAAAGAAGATGTTAAGAAAATCATAAGGAAGAGGAAACACATTTACAGCAGCGTACTGTGTTTAGTGAAAAAGAAAATCTGCCTAAGTGGATCCACACAGTTCAAACCCGTGTTGTTCAAAGGCCAGCTGTACCGTGGTTATTTGAGACAAAGCTTCTATCGTTATATTCTTCTTTGTTATGTTCCCACAGACAGCGCTGCTTGCGATTCAGGGCGGAATAGTCCTGCCTTTGTTGTGTCTTTCTAGGTAGCATCTGAAGCCAGATGGGATGAAGGTGGGGAAGGTGACTTACCATACCACTCATCAACCCATGCAAAAGCCTGTCTATGTCCAATCAGCAGAATATCCCGGACCACCTAGAAAAGCAGAAGAAGGAAGGTGAAGTAATAACCACGTCTGACGAAAACGATCCGGAAAATAGGTTGTTCCCAATTCTAGGAATCCTGGCAATTACAAATTTCTCAATCACTCTGTCCATGGGACGGCAATTATAGTCTCATGGACACAGATACGGGCTCGTTCGCCCCGAGTCCTTCCATGGCGTGCTCTACTCGCTGTAAGTTAATCTCTTCATCTTGTTTGAAACGTGGACTGGCAGTGTATACACTGTGGACAACCTTACTTGGCAGTCGTACAGCAGGGGCTGGGATGGATCTCTAGGCTCATCACCCTGAGACTTTTCATTTATCTTTACCTAAAACAGGTTCAACTTTTCGCTTGTGGCACGGTGCGTGTCTCGCTGGTGCAAGGAGGTCCTAGGTGTTGGGAATCAAGAATGCTTTTCTGGATAGCAAGTGACTTCTAAGCAAAGAGCACTTAACTCTTCCCTGAGGAAATAACCTAAATATTGATAAAAAATTTTTTTTTTTTTAAATGTAATTGAAGGTGTGGGATACGAGATAAAGAAATATCATTTGGGGAGTGACTTTCACATAACAGAAGGGGAAAAAAGCAGTTTACACAAGTTATTATTGAAAGAGACGAAATAAAGGGACCTCAGCAGGTATAGAACAGATGGGGATGCTAAGCTTGGCTAGGAGACAAAAGGAAAGAAATTGTTTCTTGTAGTGACACGCAATGGCAATAGAAGACTAAGAAAGATAATATATATAGCTTGTGTGTATATGTGTGCCTGTGTGTAACCCTGTTCATGAGTTTTAATTTTATTTATTTATTTATGTATTTATTTATTTATTTATGAATGAATCTTCTGGTGCTCTTTTTGTCCTCTATAAATATGCCGCTTTACGTTTCTTGGACACTCACACGCTCCCTTCAACATTCCTTTCTTCCTGCCAAACAAAACCCAGCAATTGTCAAAAACCTCTCGCGAAAGGTTCAAGCACGTTTCAATAAATGAAGGAGTTTAATCTGGCGAATTTGCAGAAACAAGGGAAGCGTTTATAATGAAGTGTTTATTTCTCCATGCCTCTGGATAGCTGGTGAGGCTTTTATGATTTGGAAGGAGGAAATATGTCAAGAAAATAAGAAACAACATGAAACCATACACACTCAAGTGCTGACTGTCAAATTCATGGAAATGAAAAGAACGGCATTGAGCCATCAGTAAAATATACCCTATTACATTAAGCACAACACAGCTGTCTGCTGGAACCAAGAATTCAATAATGTGCTAATGGCTCGCTTTCGAACATTTTTTTCCCCCTTAACTGTGAATAGATTCTTAAAAAACAAAAGTATTCAGAGAAAGGCATCCCTGGTACTTTAAACGCACGCAAATACTAGCCTCCTATACTCATTAGCAGCTCCTGGGCCAGAGCAGGTGTGGTTAGGGGGTGTAGATAACACTTCCTTATATTTGGAAACGGGCATGCCTTTTACTAGAGCATAATTGCTACAGGTATTTTAAAGAAACAGAAGTCAAAACTAGCCAAAGTCATCGGGTGAGAAAAGAAACACAATAAGCCCTACAGCAATCTAAATAGGATTTGAGAAGAGAAAGGAGGATATGACAAGTGCTCTGTGTAGTGGCCCCGAGAAGAGGAGATCCTTTTGGGCTAAAAAATAAGGGGGTAGAGATAGTGCAGGAAGTCAAAGAAGATATAGCCCAAGTTAGACACAGAGCCGGGAGCGTCTTCCCGCTTAATCACTTGGGACACGGCTGGGAAACAGGTGGTCCCCAAAACTTGATTTCTATGTGTCTCTCACGTGGGTCCCACCTCTGGCTGGGCCGACAGGGCTCTAGAGCGCAGAAGAACGAAACACCTCTCCGTTAAAAAAAACACCAAAGCTCTCAGATCTGTTCTAGAGTCTCATGAGCCCAGGTTCAATCTGTTCCTTTGTACTTAAATTCAAAACGTATACGTGTTATTGCCAATCGGCCTTCAATCTCAGTAGACCAATCCGTCTAAGTAAGTAACACAAAGCTCAGTGCATTAACGTTAAATTCCAGCGGCCCCAAAAGAATTTCAGAAAGCTATTCTTTATCAGTTTTTAAGTGGAAAAATAAACAGATATCCAGCCTATCTGGAATGTAGAGACAATGTGGGTAGTATTTATTTTTATGAAAATGGGAGGCATTACAAAGGGTAATGCAAAACTCTACATTTTCCATTTGTTTCCATGAGGCTAACAGTCATGCTAGAAGCCCCTAACAAACTTAAGTCATCACCAGGTGATGATTTCCTGCTACACAATTAACATGTTTAGCTAAAGTGGGCATACAATTGAAATCTGTGTTTCGAGGCTATCAATAATTCTTTGGTAACAGAATTATTAAATGACCAGAAATACTGAGATGCACCATCTAGGGGACAATCGTGTTTTCTCTTGGGGGCGTCTTCTACCTTAAGTGTCTATATTTGCAGGGTCTTTTGAGTGAGAATGATCTTGGGGGCTGCACACACAGATAAGCCCCGTGCCTCTGCCTGGAATCCAAGTACCCAAGTACCAAGTACAAGTACTTCTGCCTGCAACGAGGTTAGCCTGATGCCAGAGGGAGAAGTATGTTTTGAAGTATGTTTTAAATTCAGTTAATTTCCTGAATATACTCATCCAACAGACACGGAGGTCACGGAATGAGAAATGAAGTGCAAAACATCAAATTAAGCCTGGATGTAAAATGCATTTTCACGAAAACAGGGTTTTCTGGATGCAGTTGGCTCATGTTGGCTCAGCACTGTATAGGTGTTGTGCGTTGTGTACTCCAGCTGACAATAAAGACAGTCACGGAGAGCCTGGGTGCCTCACTCGGTTAAGCATCCGACTTAGGCTCAGGTCACGATCTCACGGTTCGTGAGTTCAAGCCCCACATCAGGCTCTCTGCTGTCAGCACAGAGCCTGCTTCGGATCTTCTGTCCCCCTCTCTTTCTGCCCTCCCCTCTCTCAAAAATAAATAAACATTAAAAAAACAAAAACAAAAACAAAAACAAAACAAGTCACTGTGTCCACAGTCCGGGAACTGCTGTTTATTCACTTACCTTATGTACAAATTGTTCCACTCTGGTCTGAAGTCCCCAGACCTCAAACTTCACGGTCACCAGCTTGTAGGAACACATGATGGGTTGATGACTATCTCTCCAGCCTTCCCTTAATTGGCCGCGTCCTGTCTTCTCAGACTTGAAGTGTTTAGGATCCTGAAAAAGATACATCAAAGAAATGATAACTTTAAAGCTTAATTATCATTTATATAGGAAATTTCCAGAATAGGTAAGTCCATAGAGACCAGCAAGATGAGTGGTTGCCAGGTGTTGGAGTCACTACTAATGGATAAAACGGTTCCTGTTGGGGTGATGAAAATGTTCTGGAACCAGGTAATGGTGGAAGTTGCATAGCTTTTGTGAATACACTAAAACCCTCTGAATTGTACACTTAATTAAAAGGGGGAATTATATACATCTCAATCAAAAGAGGGGCTTATGGTGTAAGTAAATAGTAAAATGATAGCTCACCTATTCACATGTCAAAAACGGGATTTATTTACTTACTCACATTTAAAAGATTTTATTTTTAAGTAATCTCTACGCTCAAATTCACAAACCTGAGATCAAGAGTTGCACATTCCACCAACTTAGGTAGCCAGGTACCCCTCAAAAACGTGATTTTAAGCCAGATTTGTGCTGAGACGCCTGGGCGGTCCAGTCAGTTAAGCAACAGGCTTTAGCTCAGGTCATGATCTCACGATTTGTGGGTTCGAGCCCTGCGTCGGGCTCTGTGTTGACAGTTCAGAGCCTGGAGCCTGCTTCAGATTCTGTGTCTCCCTCTCTGCCCCTCCCCAGCTTGTGCTCTGTCTCCCTCTCTCAGAAATAAACATTAAAAAAAAAAAAAGCCAGATTTGTGCCACTGCATTGTATTTTCTCTGACCTTAGGTTCGATAAACTTTACAAAAAAAATTTTTTTTAGGTCCAACCCATTACTGGGTGTGTAAATTTGGACAATTGCTCAACAATGTGTATAAATATCTAAGAGCTAAGCATATGCGCCTACCTATGACCCGACAATTCAATTTCTAGGCGAAATGGGTGCATTTGGCCATCAAAAGACTGTACTTGAATATTCACAACAGCTTAAAAATTTTTTTTAAATGTTTATTTATCTGAGAGAGAGAGAGAGAGAGAGAGAGAGAGACAGAGAGAGAGAGCGCGCAAACAGGGAAAGGCAGAGAGAGAGGGAGACACAGAATCTGAAGCAGGCTCCAGGCTCCGAGCTGTCAGCACAGAGCCCTACGTGGGGCTTGAACTCACGGACCGTGAGATCGTGACCTGAGCCAAAGTCGAACACTTAACCTAATGAGCCACCCAGGTGCCCCCAAAATATATAAAATATTTAAAAACAAAGAAACAAATAAGAAAGATTACAAAAATTGTTTTAATGTTTAACCATTTAATATTTCCTCAATGATTGCCATGTGGAAATCAGCTTCTGATTTATCTCATCAGAGGATTATTTTTCAGAGATAGCTCAGAAGAAATGTGTGAATTAATAAAGTAAGAGAAAATGCATATATACACCTAAAAATATTTTTATTTATTTTCCCAGCTTAGAGTTAGTAACAGATAACACTGTGTAGGCTTAAGGTGTACAACATGTATCATTAAAAAAATTGTTTAAAAATGTATGTAGGAGAGAATTTTCGTTAACTTACAGAAGACTTTGCTCTGGGGATTACTGTCCAGCTCTGTTTCGGGGCTCCCCTCTACCACAACCCTGCTCCCGCTCAGGGGGAGGTAGGAATTTGGAGGAAATGAGCCCCCCAAACACAGCAGAGGCCACAAGATAAAGCAGAATGAGGCTCCCCCCACCCCCCGTCCAAGGGAGACCTGGGGACCCTGTGCAGGAAGGGAGGTAGTCTGAGCCACGGAACTGGATTATCTCGGACTGCCCAGCCCTTTTAACTCAGCCCGGACTGTGCCTCAGGGGTAGGTCCAGCAGGTGCAAGCAGGATGCTTACAACTAAAGAGAGCGTTATCACTGGGGTCTGGCTGAGGCTCTGGCAGGGACGTCTGGCTTGGCTCTGAGGGGCTGGCAGGCTGCCCCTGCCTTTCTTTACTGGCGTGCCTCCTGCGGACAACACTTTGGCTGCGGTGGCCACTCCCAGAACTGTGGCTCCCCCAGAAAACACAGCACACCCCCGAGACCAACTCCCACACGAGGCTGATGCCAGGCCCTCAGCGACATCCAGGCAGAGCCCACAGCCTCCCTGCCCCTGTGGCCTCTGCCTCTAGCCGACATTCCCCATGCTGCTGCCAGAGTGACCTCCCAAATGAAGACTTAATCCCATTGCTGACTTCCTCAGAATCCATGACTTCAGGATATCATTAAAATGCCTGGCATGAAATACAAGGCCCTTTAGGATCTTGCCTACCTTTCTAGCAGCTCTTCTGGACCACTGTCCCAAAGCCACACCTTTCCCTTCAGCCTTACGAAGCTCCTGCATCCCCATGCTCCAGGGCTCCAGAACCTTCTAGGCAAGTGTCAGTTCTTCTTCCTGAAATTTTTTCTCCCCAGCCAACTCCTCCACTTTGCCTCACTCTTCTTTTCCTTCTTTAAGACTCAGCTTGAGGGTCCCCTCCTCCCAGAACACTGTCCTATGTGGTTCAGAACGAACACTCCTCCTTTATGCTTCCAAAGCCATGGTTCTCCCATGAACCTGGCAGGTGGGAAGGACTCTCATCACTGGTGTGCTTGTCCATTTCCACAAGACCACAGTCATCTTGAGCCCAGTGGATGCTGAATGCCCATGATGCTGGTACACAACACATGCTGAATAAATGTTTGTTGAATGAATGCCTGAGTTGTTTGGACCCACCACACACACAAGGCTGGGCATCACCATCTCAGCTACATTTGGGTAAATCTTAAAGTGAAAGACAGGTTAAAAATGCTATGTGCATCATTACAACTGCCGGCAAGCATGTGAAAAAATTAGAACCCTCACACATTGAGGATGGGAATATAAAATAGTGTGGCCACTTTGAAAAACAACTGGGTAGTCCCTCGAAAGGTTAATACGGAGTGAATTTGGCTCTGCCATTCTACTCCAAGATACCTACCCAACAGAATTGAAACCTATGTCCATGCAAAACCTTGCACATGAATGTTCAAATTCCTAATAGGCAAAAAATAGAAACAACCCAAGTGTCCATCATCTGATGAATGGATATGCAAAATGTGGTCCATCCATACAATGGAAGATTATCCAGCCATTAGAAGGAATGAGGTACTGATCCATGCTCTAGCACGGATGAACTTCAAAAAACATTACAATAAGCGGAAGAAGCCAGTCATCAAAGGCCACCTTGTATAATTCCATTTATCTGAAATATCCAGAGTAGACAAATCTACAGAGAAAGAGAGCAGAGTAGTGGCCTGAGCTGGGGTGAGCTGCTATGGAAACAGAGTTTCTCTTGGGGCTGATGAAAATGCTCTAAAATCAGGTTTAAGGTGACGGCTGACAACTCTATAAATATGCTAAAAGCCATTTAACTGTACCCCTTAAATGGGTGAACGTTAGGTAAATTATGTATCGACAAAGCTGTGAAAAACACACAAATGCAGTATAAAAATGCCACGTGCTACCTTAGTCAGATTTTTCAGGGTATGTACTAATTCTGAGATTCCTGAAAGTCCTGTATAAAGTAATATTATAACAGTCATTATCCTAAGCATTTACTGAATGCACAATGTGGGCACAGTAGAGAACCAGATATTACATTATGCTCTCCCTTGACCTGGTTTCTTTGCCCTGAGGGGTGTGGGAGGGCAGCAGCAGCTGTGTGTGTGTATATGTGTGTGTGTGTGTGTGTGCGCGCGCGCGTGCGTGCACATTCGCACGCCCTGGAAGGTGTGGGCTGTGTGTGGTCACAGAGCACTTCCCTCCAACCATGGTGGAATCCGCTCTACTTGGCTGATTTCCATTCCTTGACCTTCCCCCGGGTTCCTCATTGGCATCGGTTGCAGGAAGACATTGGGCCTGGAGGTAGCAGGGACCAGAGCGGGACAAATATATAATTAATGGAATACTCAATTGACAAAAGAGATTCTGAAAGAGAGAAGGAAAAGAGAAGGCACAGTAAGTATCCCATAGGCATAAGTGTTCTGTGAAAGGAATAGCTGGAGATTGGACTATGGGTAGCATTTTCGAACCTTTGATACCAATATTGTCATGCTGTGTTTTTATCACCCGGACCAGCCCAGAAACGACTACTGAAATATACATACAGGCCTGGAAAGATTATGTTAATTTAATAATAACACGATTCAGGAAAAAGGCACAGGCCTAGGGTCTGGTTCACGGCAAGTGTTCAACTGACGTTAGCTATTACGGTACTCCGAAGGCAGTCTCAGATGCGTCTGAGTAACATGCCCACTCCTGCAGTCAAGGGGCAGAGCCACTGATGCTTTTCCAAAGTACCCTGGAATTGCTGGTAGGAGATTTGATGGTTTAAGGTCACGGGACTAATTCCTGCCTACCCCATGTTCCTACAGTCTACAACGCCATTGAGAATAAAAAGAGAAAACCAATAAATCAAGAGGTAACACCAGGGAGTCTCTGGTGGATAATCTCCAAAGATGGCCTCCAGCAGCTCCCTCCCTCTCTGTGCCAGTCAGTATGCTGTTCCTCCCACCAAGAGATGGAGGCTATCTCCCCTCACTTTGAATCTAGGTTGGCCTAGGTCATGCTCTGACCAATTGCAAATGGCAGAAGAGAAACTGTGTCAGTTCAGGCCTCTAAAGGAAGCTAGTAACCGGACGCCTGACACAACGTACAGAGTCTGGTCTGATTACTCCGAGCCCACCATGTTGGGGGGAAGCCCAAGATAGCCTTGCGGAGAAGTGCCCACCCATTCCAGCTAAGAAGCCAGCAGGCATGCGAGGGAACAGGTCAAATTGGATATTTCAGTCCAAACATACATCGTGAGGAACAGAAGATCTGCCCAGCTAAGCCTCGTCAAAAAATTTACAGCTGCCACGTAGTCAATGTGAGTTAACAGACAGGAGCTGGAGTTAAACAGGGAGGGTTGGTTTCTTTCGCCACCCGCCTATTAACTTTCCAACAAAAGGCAAATGAGGAGTATAATTATCAGCACATGGACAGTAACTATCCTTTTTAAAAAAATTTTTTTTACGTTTATTT